CCCCCCCCCTGTCGGCCGCTGTCCTCTCTGGCAGGCTCCCCTCAGCGACCCCTCTCCCCCCCCTCAGCCCCTGTCCCCTCTGGCAGGCTCCCCTCAGCGACCCCTCTCCCCTCTGGCAGGGCTGCCCCCGACAGAGTTACAGAGCTCCCACCTCAGCGCCTGGCAGAGGGCTCCTCCCTGCTGTTGCTTTTTTCCTCCCCCACAACCCCGATGCCCTTTGGGCCCCGGATCCCCCCCCTCCCAGGACCGGGAGCTTCCCCATCAGGGCTGTAGGCGAGACCCCGAGCTGCGGGAGACGAGGCCGGGTTGGGGCAAGGGCACAACGAGGGTGTGGCCGGGGGGAAGTGGCGAGAGGAAGAGCTGGAAGAAGCGAGCAGCGGCGGCCGGCCCGCGGGGTGGGTCCGTGGCCGCGTGGGGTCACGCGGGGTTAGGATTGTTCTTGGAGGAGAGGGGCATCCATGGGGATGGAGGCTGGGAGCGAGGGGCCTGGACCTGAGATGCTGGAGGCGGCGGGGAGAGAGGGATAGTGGGGGCGAAAAGGCCTGGGTCAGACCCAGCTCATACACTCCCTTTTAGTCTCCCCTCTCTGGACGCTGAGCCAGATGGACCTGCCGTGTGACCCAGTCCGTGGCAACTCTTATGTCCTTATGAACACGGCAGGATGGAGCTTCCCCGGCTCAGGGACTGAGCACAAGCACCGAGCCCAGCGTGTGCTGCAAAACCTGCCGGAGAAGTGGGGTAAAACGTCAGCCTGCCTTTGAGAAGCCTTCAGCAGTCCGTGAGCATTAAAAGCCAAATCAGTCCTTGTGGATAATTGTGTCGTGATACTATCCCACCTGTCGCCAGATGACAGATTTTTTGGGGAGGATGAAAATATTATGTTCAAAATCTTCCCCTAGTTTTCTTCCAGAACGTCAAGCACTCAATTCAAAGCTGTGATCCTGTGTGAACTGGAGGCTTCCCCTAGGCCCCAGTATAGTTTTCCAAGTCCAGCAACCGTTCCAGGAAGGAGACGAAAGCGGAGCAGGCGCAAATGTTTCATGGCAACGCAGCTTCCATGAGATCAGACATAACCAGGTAGCCAGAAGCTGAATGGCCTGAGTAAAGTCTCATCAGCCCTAGGAAAACAGAGACATGGGGTTCTGCAGTATAGCAGCTCCCCAATGAAGTTTGTACTGCAGACAGGGCTCCAGTGGTTTTACCACTGTGTTGTTTAACCCTATGATGAGTAGGTAAGAGTACGCACAGCCTGTCTACACTACGTGGCACCTTCTCCTGTCAGCAAGCAGAGCCGCACCACTGAGGAAATGGTGGTGGTATTATCTCCCTATAGACACGGCCTAACGGCTTCTCCAGGACAGCAGACAAAACTCAGTAGTTTGTGTTAAACTGCAGATAAACTGCTCCTCTTTCTTGTGGGTTTCATCTATGCCACAATCGCTAATGCAGTTCTATGGCGTTGACTAGTGTAGTTGTAGCTGGCAATGTAGACAAAGAACAAATATTTGCGTCTTAACATAGGAAAAAATGTTTCTTGTGTAGGTAAGTTAGCTGTCATGTTATAGGATGACTAGCAATTGTAATGTGACCTGCCTTTAGAGTAACCACATACAGAGCCTGAAAAAGGAACTTGATTACATGCCAGCAGGCAATAACAAACTTTTCTTAGCAAACATTTCTCAGAGGAAAGCCTGAAGCCTTTAGTATCTGCAGCACTTAAACTTTATGTACAGTTGTATGTCTGCCTCTTCAGAATGTGTGGATTTGCTTTCATAAATGAACTCATACAGTAATACTCTCTGCCTCAGTTTGCAGCCAGCTCCAGTGCCTCAGTGCTTGCTGATAACTTCTACCAAGCAACAGCTGGGAGAAATGCTCAAAACCCTTCTCTTCACTTCCCTCACCTGGAAACCTGGGCAGCAGTGAAAGCAGCCAGAATTGCATAGCAGGCCATGAGAACAGCTGACATGTCTAAGCAAGTAGCTTGTCTTCCCAGTCTGCATCTCGGCTCTCGCAACACACTGCTCAGTGAGAACCTATGTTTTGGCCCCATCAGTGGGTGGCCTCTCTCTAGCACAGCCACCCAAGGCCTTCAGGAGAGGAGAAAAAAAGTAAAGCAACAAAGGTCAGAAAGGAAAAGAGAAAACGGATAGCACAGCTGAGCACAGTGAACATGTGCTCACCATGGGCTTGCAAGCAGGGGTCAATCATTACAAGGCCTAGGAACAGTGCCCTGGGAGGAACTGCTGAACCTTCCTGTTAAGGGAAGCTCTGCTTATGAAGCATCATCTAAGATGCTCACGTTGGCTTTGCCCAGTGTGTCATTGACAATCAGAATCGGGATACTGGCAGCTGAACCATCCATAGACATGGTTGGTTGCAAGCATAGATGAAGCCAAATCCTGCTGAGCATGATTTTGGAACCCTCCATGTTCAGTTTCACCTGTTCTTGTTACCCACTGTCAAGAAAAGGTACTTCTAGCACAGACAAGTTAGGGCTTTACCCCAGAACTCTGCATGCTCCCTCTAATCCAGCCCTTTAGCCTTTGGTTAATTGTTGTCTAGTCTATTTTTCACAGCCCTATCCCACAAAAGCCCCCCCCGCCTTTTTTTGGGGGGGAGGGGGTGGGGCTGGGAAACGAGAAGTCTTTGAGAAATCAGCTTTAGGTATTAATGAGAGATTTGCATAGAATCTCACTAAATGCTTATTATTAGCCCATTTACCAACCACATTTGTCAGTCAACTGCAGGCTTCTGATAGATTTCCAAAATATCTCCAGCAAACAAAGGCAATGGGGCAAGGTTAACATTCTGCAAGACTCTCTCTGAAATGCAAGGAAACAGAGAGAGCAAAGAGTGTGAGTCAGGGCTGTAATGTGTGCATGCATGCTGCCATAAAGCAGTTCAGCCTATTGAATTTGTGGCTCACAATCAATTGGTGAGATGGCATTTTGCTGCTTCATTGCAGAGCTGCTGTTTTTAGCATGTCTCAGCCATCCTGCTGTCCTTGTCTCCCTCTTACTCTGTTCTTGCTTTCAAGATTATCATCAGAAGTGCTGCAGGAGCCACCCAAAGGCAGCTGAAAGGTGATGTAATCAGCATCCTCCCCTGCCTAGTGTATAAGCATGTTATTTCCACAGCAGTGCTGGTAGCCACAAATTTAGGGCTATATCTATTTACTTGACTCACCATGAATAAGTTCACTGGCCCGAGTGGGACTACTCAGTAAGTAAAAGAGTAATAGGGGCACTTGTACATGTGACAATGTTACCATGGACACATGATGACAATTTCCCTTTGTGTGGCTTATGGCATCACACATTACACATATGCAAGTTTTGGGGTTTTTAAATGAGTTTGCATCATTGCAAACTCCCGATGTAGTTTAGTCTGCAACGTTGCAACTTGAAACACTGCAGCCATTAATTTGTCAGCTTGTCTTCCAGCCACAGGAGAGGCAGGGAGGCTCCGCCAAGAAAAAGAATTAGGCTTCTCACCACTTCACCTTCAGCAGGTTCCTCCAGCTAGCTAGCAGGATGCCTGGGGCCTCCCAGTAATAGGCTGGCTTGCCCCTGAGGCAGTGCGGAGAGGCGGCAGGAGGGCAGCTGGGTGTGCTGACAGCCAGAGAGGGCAGTGGGGACAGTGCAAGGGGTGTTGGAAGCCCAGGCGGGATGAGCGAAGAGTTGAATCGGGTGTCTCTGAGCTGGGGCAGCACCAGGCCAACTAGCAGCCTGCATGGGTGACCCCACACCCCATGCATTGTCCCCATTCCTTCCCCAGCACCCGCACACCCAGCCACCCTCCTGCCACCTCTCCACACTGCTCCAGGGGCAAGTCAGCCCTTTCCTGGGTGGCCCCGGGCAAACTGTTGGCTAAGGGTCCCTGATCCTTTATTTTTTACCTCTCCTGTAGCCAAGGGGCAAGATGACAGATTAATGGCACAGATTAATGCCCCTCTCCCCCCCTCCCCCCAGCTGCAGGAGAGGTGGGCAGGCTCCACCACAAAAAAACAGAAAAAAGGATCAGGCCCCTTGCCACTCCTGCCTTCAGCAGGCACCTGTGGCCACCAGGACAATGACATATATATACAGTGATGGAATCAAGAGGAATTTCCCACCATGTTACAATAAGAAAAATTCAGGTGCATTTTGGGTGCTTAACATTGCCTTCTGAAACATCTAGCACTGCTTGCTCAGAGAAAGGGTGCCAGATTAAACAGGCTACTGGTCTGCTCTGATAGGGCAATGTCTATGGTCCAAGAAAGGAAAAAATATCTTATCGCTTAGTGTGCCTTTTGCAATCTCTGTGCCACACCCAGCTGCCTCAAGCACTTACCACAAGGCCACAACATAGGATGTTATAAAAATAAACCCTAGTAATTGATGGAGTGCTTTGAAATTCATGCCTGATATACCAACATCCAAGGGCTCCACTATAAAACATATGCAAATGAGGCACATCAAGAAGCCAGGTGGAAAAAAACATTTGAGCTTTATTGTTTTGCAAAAGAGCCAGCATGACTGTCACAATATACTTCCAAATGTAGAGACGAAATACAGAGAAGACTCTATTAGACCGTTTCTCACCAGCACGACAGTTCATCATTTTTCAGAAAGATGAGTGGGACCCAAAATCTTTCCTTTAGCTTGGAATTTTGCATACATGAACAAAAAAAATGGATTTTGCATACATGAACTTCTCAATCTAGGGAACTAGAGGATCTATAAGAAGAAATAAATTATATACAATATGTATTTAGCTTGACTCTGCTGTGGGAAACATGATTTAAACTATAGGAGTCTATTATAAATAGATCACATTTTTAATATATGTAAATGCTATACAAGATCCTAAATCACACCAGAGAAAAATCCAGAATATCCAACCACACTTCATGATTAGGAGAAGGGAGCGTGGGTTTATTTCAACTTGTTTTTATTGAGCTTTTAAAATAGTTGCAAGCACACATTCTCCCAAACAGCAGGAACTGAATAATAATTAATATATCACACTTGTAAAGCTATATCAATTTCTGCTAGATGACTTGCACACACAAAATGAGTACCATGGAGATAGCTAGGCCTGATTCTGATCTTGGCTCTGGTAATGAATCAAGAGTGATCATTTGGGTTATATAGAAAAAGACTGTCAGAAGCAAGCCTTGTTATCTGCAGGGGGAAAAACCTGCCTATCTTAGCATTTGTCAAAAAATTATACAGTATACGGAAATTCTTGGCATTAGTAAAAAAAAAAGCATAGGAAGATCTATACAATGATAAGGCATCTTGTGGTGCTGATGTAAAAAATATATCGGGGATTCTGATATATGCATCTACCTAAAACAAGTTAGTACTGCTTTTTGTTCCTAAGATGAGATCATCAAAATACCTTGTGCCATTGCAGTAAATATTTATCTATATACCCAAACAAATTATCTTTAATTAAACAAGCATCAGTGTCCTGAGTTCTAGGAATCCAGAATTTAGACAATAAAATTGAAAAAATACATTAGCTGTGTTAGCAATATTAGGAAAAAGCTTGAATGGTACTTTTAACAAACTGCAGATGCACTTTTCATTTCTAGGTCTCATCCATAATTCAATTTTTGTAACATGATATTGCAGAAATGACTAATCCTTTTTATTAGAGTAGAATTTTGCAAAATAAGGCTTTTAAGATCATACTGTATACTATGTTTGAAGGAGGACCAATTGCAACGCGTAAAAGAAATATTTTTCTCAATAGCCAAAACTTCTTGATTTTTCCCAGATACAATTATTTATAGAAGTGATAGACCCCCTGCAAGAATTAGTTTGTGGTGGACAGTTATAAACCCCCCATTCTGTCACCGCTCATGTATTTGCTTCATTATTATAGGCATGTGAACCTCCCATTGATCTACTTCCATGGGACTGCTCAGGTGGTTAAGTTACTCACAGGCATCATGTCCAGGCAGGATCAGAACCTGTTATCATTCTTTGCAGAATGACTCCCTAGTCCCATCAAAGTTGCAAAGCAGTCTTTCTGACCTGTATACTACACTGCTCTAAAAACTGGTTTACTTGAAAGAGTTTAGATTTTACTTGGATGGATCAGGTTGAGCTGAAAGAGCTTACTGCAAAGAAAACCAGTTCCAATGGGTCACTCGCTATGGAATGTGCTTCAGTGGGATCAGGTTTCTGAGCTGCTGATTTCGCTGCTTTTGCATTAGACACGGTCAAAGGAAACGGTAGAGAGGAGTGATGGGGGAGGAGAAAAAGCTTCTGATCCCTACATAAGCAGCCCCACTGTGAATCACAGGAAGGTCAAGGGATTTTATCTCAGGTGTTTCTACCTGTTCTCTTTTTCACCTCTTCTGTTGTGGCGTAGCATTGGGAGAAAATGCTGAAGAGGAGGGTCCCAGTCCGCTCATCAGTGAGCCGGGTCCTGCCGCCACTGCCCCAGCCGCGCCTGACGAGACAAGCTGGGGACCGCACGCGCAACTCCGTCTCTGGCTCCGCCCCTTGTCCCCGGCGCGTGGCCGGGGGAGCTGCGGCGTGGCGCGCGCCCTGCCCGCATGCGCTGTGCAATGAAGCACGAGGTAAGTTCCCGCGCAGAGCTGGGGGCGCCTCGGGGCCGGGCCGGGCGAAAGGCAGGAGGAGCCCGGCCCAGAGGCGCTCTACGTCCAGCCGCCTCCTTGGCGGTTCAGGTCTGATAATGTAGCCTGCACGGCTGAGGATGGGGGTCTCCATCCAGTCGCTGGCGGGGATGATGCGTGTCTGGGAGCGCTCGTGCTCCTTCTCCCGCCTCCCCACCCTGACACGTGTCCTGCGCTGCCGGAGCGGCCCCGCACGGGAAGCCAAGCAGTGGCCGCTGGCACTGCCGGCCGTGCCTGCCTCCTCGCCCGCCCGCCCGCTTCAAGCCTGCCCCACAGCAAGGCGGCGCCTGCTCCCCCGGCCAGTCTCCCCCCGGGCGCTGCAGCTCTTCGGGCCCGGCCGCCAGCGCGCGAGGCCTCGAGGGGGCCGCTTCCCATGTGCTGCTTGGGGACGGGAGGAGCCTGGCTGGGTCTGCACCGGCCAGCAGGAGCCGCGGCGGAGCCGTGTGCCGCCCGGGACAGGTCGAGCCTGCACCGGTCAGGCTGCTTTTCCTGGCCGGTGCCGACCCGATTCTGCCCGGGCGGGTCCTGCAGCACCACCTCAACCCGGGCATGGCGCCAGCAGCCGGGCAGGCCCCAGGTTAACCCCGGCCTGACCCCGCGGCTTCTCCAGCACCAGGTCAACCCGGTTGTAAGCCCAGCGGCTCCTGCAGCACCATGTCAACCCGGGCGTGCATGCCATGTCAGCCAGCACCATATCAGCCCCTGCAACTTCATTGG